GTTTATTTTTTAGATTTTTATTCGTGTTCTTCTCAGCAAACACTTTAATTTAATATCGATATTTTGGGGGGGGCATAAAAAAACAATCCGCCATCGATGGTAGTCCGCCATGTTAGATTTAGAATCACGTGACTTATCTAACCATTGTCATATAAACTAAACGTGTATGCTAAACTTCAGCCCAATCAGTGGGTAACTGCTTTAAAATTCAGTTGCAAGATTAGACCCGAACAAACATACACACAATCATTGCAAGCTAAATAAAAGCTCTTAAAACTGGAATGCTATATTTTAAACTAATAAAAATTGTTACCAATAAACTTCGCCGTACAAAAACAAACTAAAGTTGGCACTCTTAGCCAATATTTAATAAATAAATCGCGTTATACCATTATTATTGCTTCAAAGCTGTCTCCGATTGTTTCACAACAAGTTATCTTATATATACAAGTTTGTAGTTTCTTAAATGAAATTATGGACTTAAAGTTTGCTTTGATTACTTTAAAGTTTTAAGGTAGTGTGATTTAGTTTATTTTAGGTCTTTTCTGATAATAAAGAAATTAATTTCAAAAAGATGTTATTATAACAAGAGAAGGTATTTAACGAAACAACCTGTATGTATGTATATATGTATGTATGTTTCGTCCCTAGTGTATACAACTTCCCTATTTGAATCGGATATTATTAAATTTTTCATTGGTTTTAATATTTTTTCGTGGGACCGTATTTTTTCTAAAATAAAAGTAGCCTAAGTTACTCGTTATTACATCAGCTATCTGCCAGTGAAAGTCCCGTAAAAATCGGTCCAGCCATTTCAAAGATTAGCCGTAACAAATTGACAGAAAGACAAAAATTGTAAAAAAATATTGTTTTGGTATATGTACCGTGTATACATCCATATGCATTTAGTAACACGCTGTTATTTTGACATTACAGACACTTCAATTTTATTTATCTGTATAGATGTATTGAATGTGTACCCAAAGAGTAGCAGATAGAACATATTATATATGAATATACATATAGAAATAGTGTTCATCTTTATAATTTAAAAGAGAATCAAATTTTAATTTAGTGATTCCATTTCGTCAAATTAAATAGGTCAAGTCGAGCTCCAATACAAATTGAAATTTTATCGCTGACGTTGTGCATTTTTACGTATAAAAGATACGAATTGGCATGTTTGCTATTTTGCAAATACGTTAACTATTAGCCTTTGTATTTAATAAATCTTAGTCATGAGACTAGTTTGATTTATTTAAAACCAATACAATTAAGTATCAGAAATCTCATTAGATTTGACTCTTATTAAGAGGTAGAGATTGAAGCCTAAAATGGTATTATAACTAGATATTTTTTATTGCCATACCTGCCGCCGCATCCGCAATAGTGCCAACTTGCATTATAAAAAAGCTCATTAAAATATTTATTACCATAAAAATAAAAACAGTACAATTTTTTATTATGTGAATTTTTCGATATATGAAAATCTATAATATAAGGTACCATCAGCTGACGCTGCCCCTCTGCTCGACCTGATCTCTGATCGAAATCCCTATGAAAAAATAATACATATGTTAGCAAAGTCATTATATTTTTTAATTTAAAATATCGGTATTTATTATAATGAATTAAAGAGGCAATAATAATGTGTTAAATAATAATTATAAATGATTTGATTTATATAAATATGATGGCATTAATGGCAACATTCTTTTTTTGATTATTAAAAATGTTTGTGACACAACTGTCATATGAACAGTGTGGATAATGAGTAACGGTTCGGTGTGTTATTTCATTATTGTAAATTTAAATTATTTAAATACATTAATAAACGAACGTGCTAATTGGGTATTTCATTTAAAGTGCTATGCCAATACTTATATATAAGTATATATATATAAATATATATATATATATATATATATATATATATTCGGCATTACTTACCATTTTATACTCTTCACTTAACCCCCTCGTATTGAGACATAACCCCAAAATTTTCCAAGTTTCTTACCAATATCAGAATTGAGAACAATCCTGAATACTTCGGTCATAGAAACGGTAAACCTAATATTTCACACGAGAAAACCAACAGAATGGCTTCGTTAAGAGGCTCGATGGCCCTACAGTTGGCATTGTGCTGATGTCAGGCCCTCAGAGCTCGCCAAAATGTTAATGAGACAACCCATATTGAGTACCATTGATCGGATTCGTCAATAACAATCGATAATAATTAAGATGTTTTAGTTTTGTATTGTTATTTAAATAACGTTGTAATGAGATGTGATGGAATAGCTGTATTGATTATTTTATTTTTATTTTGGTTCATTGGAAAAAATACTATTTTTAGGTACACTCTGTTCTTATTTTTTTGCGGTTAATTTGAAGTATGTGTCAGTGAATGGAAGCTATCGCTCACTTTTCTACTGGCATATTAGAGAAAAATTATAAGCGCACTTCAAAACAGACTTAAGTTTTGTATACATGTATAATATAACTGCCTCGGTGGTGTAGTGGCTAGCATGTACGGCTTCACACTCGAAAGTCCTGGGTTCGAGTCCCGGGTCGAGCCAAGTTTAGTTATTGAGTCTTTCTGTATAGTAAGTCTCAGTAACAGCCCGGAGTTGGGAAGTTGGCGGTGCTTCACCCCCGTGCCTCTGAGAGCACGTAAAGCCGTTGGTCCTGCGCCTTAACTCTCACTGGTCGTGTCGAACAGTCGTCCCACCGGAGTATGAGAGTGATAGGAATAGAAAGTACACTTGTGTCTGCGCGTACACTTGTGCACTATAATATCTCCTGCGCAGTTGGCTAGTCTCAATGAGATTGGCCGCCGTGGCCGAAATCGGCTAGGAGAACATCATCATCACATGTATAGTACATGATATTTAATGACGGGATTCTTTTTGAAGGGATCGACAAACTAAGATAATCGGGGGCAAAATTCTATGATTATGGTGAAATAAATCAATGTACCTTCTTGCCTATAAAAGTACAAGTAATTTAGTCTGAATAGCCGCTAAAAATATTTGTCATATACTGGAACCCAACAGACATCCTGCGATTAGTTTTTAAACAAAACTATTCTAGAATATAGAAGATTTTAATTCTATTATTACTCTAAATTTGCTCTAATCTATACATATAATAAAATTGTAACCAAGCCGAATCTGTACATCAGATATTTTTTTGGAAAATCTTAGTGAAATAGACATTATTATCGATACAGAGGCCGAATCTATAGTTTTTAAAATTTTTGTCTGTCTTTCTGTCTGTCTGTCTATCTGTTACCGCATCACAGAAAAACCACTGCACGGATTTCGATGAAGTTTGGTATGGTGATAGCTGGTTATCCGGATCAACATATAGAATACTTTTTACCGCGGGAAAATGTCCCCCGTCTTAGAAAAAATACAAAAACTGCAATGTAAGAGAATACTAATATGTAAAACCTAAGAATTAAAGAGAAAAAAAAGCTAGGTAATAATAATTTGTGCGGTTTTGCGTCTACTGAAGATTATTCCAGTTATAACATTCACATCGCCTTATTAATGTCAATCTAGCTGAAAGCGTATTAAAACTAATTAACGTTATATCGAGTATATGCTTGAAATATAATAAATTTTCTTTATTATATAATACTAGCGACTCAACCTCGCTCCGCTCGTGTTCGTTACGTTTTAACGTTTAGTATAGATTTCTCAGAGATGTAATATTTTCCCGCAGTAAAAAGTATCCTATATGATGACCCGGATAACTAGCTGTCATCATACCAAATTTGATCAAAATCCCTCCAGTGGTTTTTCCGTAATGCGGTCACAGAGAGACAGATAGATAGAAAGACAAAATTTTAAAAACTATAGATTCGGCCTCTGTATCGATAATAATGTCTATTTTAATAAGATTTTCCAAAAATTATTTAATGTACAGATTCGACTCAGAATTTTATTATATGTATATACTAGTGTATTATATTCATGTACATTATATTATAATTGTACCTAACGTATGTGTTTCTTAAAAATGTTATCAATTTAATATATAATTAGTTGCTATTATTTTTTTCAATACTTCATCAATCATAATATAAACTAACAATAATGAGTTATAATGATCATATGACTGACTGTATGTTGTTTAGTTATTGACTTGTCTTGACCTCCTGAACTCGCAATCTCACGGATTCTCCGAACCTTTTACGCTCATCCATTGTGTATTATTACAATATCAATTGAACATTAGCTAACATTCAAACTCAAATAACACGTTAATTTACGAATTTGACAAGTATTTAACATTTGATTGATGATTTATTCTATTTTAGGACGATAATTTAAATTTCATCAATAACTACTAAACGGTTACTATTTAAATTTAAATAATATAATTGCGATATGTGAATATTAAATATATATATTTTCGTCATATGTCAGTATCAAGGGTAGGCATGTACTTGTACGTGTATTCTCTTTACCACTCCACGACTGTTCTATTCAAAATGAACTTTCTTCTAGTAGATATAAAATTTTAAATCTAACTATGTAATAAAGTACTTATCAAATTAACATCATATTATTAGAGTGGACGTCCATCAGATCAATTCATACCAATAAACGTTTAATATAAAAAACATTAAATTTAAATCTTCCGAAGCCTGTTCTGACATCACGATACGGACAGCGCAACTAAACCATCCGTTTAAATGGACGTGATAAAAAATAAATTAGAATAACCTGAGCCAGATGATATCGATGCTAACGCAGCTATTGTGCTGTGAGATGTAGTAGTCTCTAATTGCGGCGTCTTTGTTATACAAAATGAAGTGTTAGTTCTTCTATTAAATAAAAGGTAGTTTGATGGTTTGCCAGTCAAGATGATTTGCCTGATGTCAGTTACGAAATTGGTTGTTACTATGATAATTATTTTGATGTAATTTGTTTTCGAGATAAGATTTATATTCAAATGTACTTTGTTGCAGATAAAATAGAAGAAAACCGCGCATGGACGCAAGGAACAACGATAGTCCAACTAAGGCGTCGTCGTACGCTTTTTGGACAATACAGGATGCCTGGCGTAGGAACATTAGTGGATATCCAAACTTAAGTGTTAAGTCAGAGAACATTGTTAAAGAAAATGTTGTTCGAAATGAAAATATACAAAAAAGTGATAATAACGAAGCAAATTATAAAAGTGTTATAGCATCTGAAGTAAATACTATAAGTGACGAAGGTGACTCTGATGAAGTTAGGAAAAATGTGTGGAGTGACGTCGATGATGAACTGTACATAGCAAATTTAATAAAGCTTAGGACTTCAAATGAAGTGAGCCACGTTAAACGTGATACTAGCTTTTCTAGTGTTAGTGATTTCAGCGAGGTTGTGAATAGTGTTAAGTTAGACAGGTACGAGATGTGGGAGTTGGAGCCCACAGACCTAACGGATTGTGACTGTCTCGGACCACCGCCTGAGTTCCTGTTGCCACCGCCACCTCGTCCACCTTTCCTCCAAGCGGACTATTACTGCGGTGACGATCCAATACCGGATCTGGAAACTTGCGATACGGAACCAGTAAGTAAAATAATGTTATACCTCAATAATATTTAAGTCTAAAAGTCCATACAATTTAAATTTACTATTAGTAAGGGAAAATGCTATTTTCTTGGGAGAAATACAAGAAATATTCATAGAAATAATAATTTATCATAATGATAATGGTGAAAGAAAAATAAAATGAGGCTTGTATTAAAATAAGAACAACTTAAATATGTTGGAAATTTTAATGCAAATTCTAATTAGAATGCCACTTCATTTCTGCAACAGTCCACTTGGAAAAGCTTACTTAATCTAAAACAAAGTGCTTTAGTATTCACATAGTCAAATTTAGTCAGGTTTAAAATTATTTTATGCTTTTGTGCTGAAAATTTAATTTATATTTTCCTAAAGTACGGAAAGAATGTGTGCTCTAACAATTCAATGTATTTTGGCTAATTGATCTTAGATCTATTTATTCTAGGAGTCATATTTACTATAAACATACATAATTTAAAATGTACCTTAAAACTACTTTAACATTCAATAAACAATTATTTGGCTTTATTTAATAGACTTAAATCGATTTAAACAAAATTTTCTCAAGCAGATATCTTAAATGTTTGCTCAAAATGTAAAAATCCCTTAGAACGTGACGTATCGAAAATATGTTATCTCCATTTCTTAAAAGCTAATGACTAACTCCGTCTTATCAGTATAGTAAATATTTGACATATGCGAGTTTTAATGACAATAGCTTTTATCTTTACATCTTAGTCTACCTGTACTAATGTAACTCGATAGTCGCTAGCGAGACATACCATCAAAATCTAAAAATACCTACGCAATAAACGTACGAAATTGAAAGCTTCATTATAAATTCATTCGATTCTCCTTTAAATTTGAAATGAAAAACATAGCTTTATATCTAGAAACTAGGATCAGCTTAGTAAAATTATTATAGGAACTCACATAAAGTACTTACTTAATACATACCTATAATATTGAGTACCCAATTTCACTAAAAGTTTATGAATTGATTTAAATCCTTAGTGTATTATACTCTTTCTGAGACAGATAACTTTTTGAGGTTTTATGAAATAATACAAATTATCAGTATGAACAATAAAAAAATTTTAACAAAAAAATAAAAACCGACTTCAAATAAAAGCACTAAAAAGTAAAAAATAACTGATTGGTAGTTTTCATTTACTATACATACCTAATCAAATATTTTCGAAGTCGGTGTGCTTTGCTTTGTATGGGCTGGCACCGATTTCGAAAATATTTGATTAGGTATGTATTTAAAAGGTAGGCTTTAATTACTTAGCCAAAGCACACCGACTTCGAAAATATTTGATTAGGTATGTATAGTAAATGAAAACTACCAATCAGTTATTTTTTACTTTTTAGTGCTTTTATTTGAAGTCGGTTTTTATTTTTTTGTTAAAAATTTTTTATTTTTCCCTTTTTAGTGTAGACAGTAGTAACAAAGTAAGAATTCTAACGTATTAGGCTTGTCAAATCAAATAAAATAAGCCCAAACTCAAAGTATCTACTATTAGCCGTTGAAGAGTTCGACCTATCCACCTTCTGGCCTTGCCATCAGATCAGGTCAACAACACCGAACCACTATACTATCAACGGAAATAGAAATACTTGCAAACTTTCAAGTCAATATGACAATTAGAAGTAGGTTAAATTCATCATTTGTTGTTTTTCCACCCTTAGGGGTGGTATTTTTTTTTGAAATTTAAATGGGACCAATCTGGAAGTATACCCTTTCAAACAAAACAAAAATTGTCCAAATCGGTTAATAAATGAGGGCGTTCTGAGGTAACAAACATAAAAAAAAAAAAAGAACATACAGTCGAATTGAGAACCTCCTCCTTTTTGAAGTCGGTTGAAAATATACATAATATTATATATTTTTTTAATTTCCTAAAACGTGAACCACCAGCGTAACGCTACCCACTGTAGTAAATCTTTTATTAAAAGGTAGATACAGTTTTATAACTCCAAACTCTTGCTTACTTACTTCATTTACTGTTAGAGACTGAGTAACGGTGTATAGTCTGGATTTCGTAAGTACTTGTAATGCTAACATTGATACTTGCTTTCTATTTGCTTCCCTCATTATTTCGTTATTGTTGAAGAATCTCGTGTTGAGTTTATTGAGATAAGCCGTTGTTTTAACTTTCTGTGAGTTTTAAATCATAGCTCACGTTTACTTATATAGCTAACTAGCATTACTCGTGGCTCCGCCCGCGTTCAGATGACCTAAAACCAAATTCTTAAGTTTTACATATTAGTATACTCTTACATTGCAGTTTTTGTATATTTTTTTTTCAGAAATGAGACATTTTCCCACGGTAAAAAGTATCCCATATTTTGACCTGGATAACCAGCTATCGCCATACCAAATTTCATCAAAATCCGTCCAGTGGTTTTTCTGTGATGCGGTAACAGACAGACAGATAGACAGACAGACAAAAATTCTAAAAACTATAGATTCGGCCTTTGTATCGATAATAATGTTTATTTCAATAAGATTTTCCAAAAAATATTTAATGTACAGATTCGGCTCAGTTACAATTTTATTATATGTATAGATTATGAATACTAATAATTATTTGTTCATTCTGCAAAGACCAGTCCAGACCAAAATAAATAGTCTAAAAACTGGAAAGTGGTTTGTTTTTGACCGATTTTAGGCAACACGGCTAATAAGAGTAACCATATATGTAGGAGACATTTCTTGACAAAAAATCCAGCAAATACTATAATAATATTTGGCCCATCTCGGATTTAACCTAAGACCTCTATATTTTCGACTGTTAATGCTAGCCACTTGACCAATGAGTTAGCAATAGCTATTGATATCGAAAAGTATAACTGGATGAGTAAATATATTTTTTTCCATAGAGAAGCTATAAAAATCATATAAAAAATGTGGTAATCAAATGCAAAATTACAAGCACATAATTGCTCAAATATGTATATTTTCCATAAAAATAAAAGGTTCGGTTGAATTAGTTAAATAAATTAAGCGCGTAACGAATCACTAATTTTAACGCGTTTTATATTATTTTTATAACCCGCGTAAAATTCCATCGTTTTTGATATCACATTCTCGTCTGATTAAGACATCACAGCGGCACTTTGTAGGACCAATAAAGTTTTACTAGGTAAAAGCGCGGTAGATAAAACAAGATTTAGTACTGACCTCACTCGTATAATATATTAAAATTAATTTAGTCTTGTAGGTATCTTATTTTACTACAATATCTATAAATGCAAAAGTTTGTATGAGTGAATGTTTGTTACTGAATGAAAAAAAGGCACAGAGATAGATTATAGTCTGGAATAGCATATAGGCAATTTTTTATCCCGTAAAAATGTACAATTCCCGTGGGATAGATTTGTTTTTAAGGGTGTTTGCGAGGGTAACTGAGGGTGAGTCGCTAGTAAAGAAATAAATATGTAATTTAAATGTATGTTATTGTATTTGGTCGCCTATTATATTTTGATTTTAGACTAATTAACTGGAGTTGGTTTTGACTCAGCATCCTTGAAAATGAACCGCGGTATTGACTTTGCAAAATTCGCAGACAAAAGAATAAGCTTAATTATAATTCTCTAAGTCTCTGCCTACACAAATCATATAATACTTTATTAGTCTGTCTATAAAATTATTCAAAAATATTGAATACTAGCGACTCGCCCTAGCTTCGCTCGGGTTCGTTCCTAGGTACGTTTTAACGGTTAATATGGAATAGATAGACTATATATTATATTATGATATATAGCATATAGCCTTCCTCAATAAATAGGCTATCTAATGCAAAAATATTTTTTCAAATCGGATTAGTATTTCCTAAAATTAGCGCGTTCAAACAAACAAACTCTGCCTCTTTATAATATTAGTATAGAATATCGAAGATATAGTCAAAATAATTATTTAGATAAACCGGCCTTTATACAGTCTGACGAATTCACATTTTTTTATATGTATGTTTGCGGTTTTGAACGAACATCTTTATACTTGCTAGATTGAGTCATATTGAGTGGAATTACAAGGTGGTCTCAGGACACGACATCTTCGACCACCTTAATATTAACTGGAGGCAATAAATTGCACCTCATTAAATCTTGTAATTTTTTTATTCATCGGAACATAAAAAATATACTTTAATATAATATGGAAATATAAAATAATATAATGATACATTGTTTCGTTTTGCCCTTTACCTGAAGAAGCTAACTTTTAGTACTACGTGTTTGTAACTTTTTATAGCATATCGTACATTAGAGGACGTAGATTCGAGTCCCAATTGAACAATTGGTATATTATTTGGAATGGAAACACAGAGAAATGCTTATATTTATTGATAAATGTAAATTTGCAAGTATCATGTAAATTCTGTTCAAAAATCGAACCCCGACTAGTCTCAGAAATAACCAATTCATTCAAATACAGCAAACTGTGCCACAATGATCATCAATATATTTTAAACCTCCCTCCCTCTCATATTCAGACATTTTCCTTAACTTATATCTTTTTAACGCGATAATTTACGATTTTATAGCCGTAATAAAGGAGCGCTAAAATGACACAGACAATTTAAAGCTATATTTTGTACTTATTAATGATCTAGATTTATAAAATGTAGCTACAGAGGATGCTGTGACTCACATTCCTTTTCCCAATTATCGCCAATTCTTGTGATCTTATTGGGTGGCGGTCGTTAACGTGTGCAATCTATTCTCTTAGCGCCTCACCGCCGCGCCGCACCGTGCTGTAAAAATCTATACATATAATAAAATTCTGAGTCTAATCTGTACTTTAAATATTTTTTGGAAAATCTTATTGGAATATTCATTATTATCGATGCAGGGGCTGAATCTATAGTTTTTAGATATTTTTTTTGTTCGTCTATCTATCTGGAAATGCATCACGAGAAAACCACTTGACAGATTTTGATGATGATAGCTGGTGATCCGGATCAACATATAGGTACAACATATATTTTTTACGT